TCACTGTAACACGGAGCACCTCACAAAGGTATCCTGTTACATTTATTGCTCAGTCAAGCCATTGTGTAATCCATTCAGCATGATTATGATACCCTAAATCAGGTTATTTGGATTCAAGTCAATCTGTTCATTTCCCTTCTGTGTAACAGAGAGGTCTTTAGTCTTTCCTCTGCGATGCCAGCTGGCTGAAGATGAATGCACTGTGGACAAGCCGGGGAGGCAATCGGACTCACGGCTCTCCAGTCTGTAACCTGCAGACCTGTTGTGGCCCTTCCCTGTTCAGGTGGCCTGCATGTGGGAACCACTCACACACAGTATGGTACCCTCCTTTTAACCTGTGTCTGATGGCAAGCACAGTTTAAATGTGATCACTTTAATTATTATAAATCAACTATTAATTATTCATCAGTATGAATAAATAGATTAAGGATTGAGTGTTTCTTCATGAAAAATATAGTGTAACGATACACTTTCATTCTGAATAATCAAATCCACAGGGAAACATAATTGAGCAATTAACTGAACAGCAAAAAAACCCAACACAAAACATGGACAGAGAATCAGACTCGTTATCTCAAAATGTCAAAAATATATGTCTATGTCTTAATCTATGTGGCCGTGCATGGATTATTACAAAAATCTGAAACTGTATAAGAAATGTCTTTATGTGATTTACTTTATTTTCTTCCTCGTTGGTTGTAAATGGTCTTTTCCTCTGACACCTTATGAATTCCTCAGTGCCCCCCTGACCTTACATTATATTCTACAATCTTTGCATGACACACTTGTGGAAGCAGCACCAGCACTTCACTGAATGTCCAAGGACAGGACAAGAAGGTTAGATGACCTGAAGTGTTTGCCATCAGAGAAATGCTGCTCTTCACTTAAACGTGCTGATGAGTGCCTGACTCTGTGTTTGATTATGTGCATGTTAGACAATATGTGACCCAGCTGGTTATACAGGTATACATCACAAGTCTTTTACACATGACCAACATAGCAGAAGATTCTCTGCTCAGACGCGTTGACAATGACACAGATATCCTCTCCTGACAGTGTGGTCTGTGTCTTATGTGTTTGGCTCCGCTTTATTATCCTGAGATATTTGCTTTCTTTTGTTTATTTTTTTATTTTTGTGTCTGTCTTGTGAAAGAAACATTGACACAGTAGCTTTGCGGGAAAAGAAAAGGATGGACAGGTCCACACTGAAACCCATCACAGCACAGGTGACAGGTGTCGTCCGACTCTGACACTCCATCACAGATACGAGAGGAGTTGATGGAGGTCAGCAGGGGACAGTAGGACGCTGGACAATAAATCTAAAGGAAATGCTTTGTCGACAGTATTTTTAAAAAATATATATATTTTTTATCTTTGAGTCCTGACACCTGCATTCTGTCTGACCCACCTTTTTCTGTATGAAAACAAGCAGACATAAATCACAGACTGCAGTGAAATTCAAAATGGCCCTGTGAGTCAGAGATAACAGAAAGTGACCTCCTGAACATTACTGGCAATGGCGAAAGCGGGGCCCCTCCCACCTCGTCATTTCCAGGTTGGACACCTACTTCATTCCTGTGTGAGGGTTTGAGGTTATTGGATAAATTGATTTCTGCCTGACCTTTGCCGGCCGCTCCTCTGATGCAAAGAGTTCTTAATGATCTTGTGCTGTCAGAGGATCTGAAATCACAGATCCCTACAGAGACCATTAGTCTACAGCTGGCATTATGATGAACGGTGGGACATTGTTGATATACAGCAGGTTGACACAACAATATGAGCACCTGTTAATGTCAATCAATACAACAGCCATGCAGTGAACACGGCATTAGTGAAGCTTGTATGTAAACCACAGAAAGAAGCTGTAATTTCAGTGTGGTGATGATACATATGAATTACACTGTACAGCCTTAAATCTTACTCCTATTTTCTGTTGGTGTGTATTTGTCAAGCTTGCTTTTTATGCCTTACTCAGTGCATAGCCTTCGTTTGTCACATCCATGCATTATCAATCCCTGTGAGGGTCACAGGAGGGCCAGAGCCATCACAGCTCACAAGAGACAGGGTACACCCTGGACAGGTCACCAGCGTGCCACAGGGCAAACATAAGGAAATAAACAATCCTTTACACTCACATCCGCACCTACGGACAATTCAGGTTCTCTTTGGACTGTGGGAGGAAGCTGGAGTACTTGAAAACCCACTCAGGCTCAGGAAGAACATGCTCCACACAGAAAGGTCTCAGCTGTCAGATCCCAGTTGAAGCACACTGTGTGAACAATTATTAACAGTTGTTGCTTTTAACCCAACATGTGTTGATTGATGTTTTTAAATTTTTTTTAAATTCTTAAAATGGCATTTAATGCATCCCTTGAATAAAATTTTCTGACATTCTGGTTCCGTGAAAAGTGTATGTGCATTGGTTTCAAGTTTCAATGTTGCACTCATCTAAGTAACATACAGGACTACAATTAGTCTCCAAACAATTGTGGTGTCACGAAATCCTGCTGTTACATAAATGACATTAAACTCAGATTTAATGTGAGCACAAATTTACCTCACTCAGCATTTGAATGTTAAAAAGACTTCTGGTGTCCAACTGTGGACATGTAAGGGCTGAGGTGATAAAAGCAAAACACAATTAATGTGGAGTAAAAGAATATACATATTATTTACATATCCCTTGTTGTACAATAGAGGCAGATGTAGGATTGCTTTGGATCTAAATTGGGAGCCAATAGGGGCCAGTATTTACACAGAGGGACCAATTACAGCTGGGGCCAGTAGCCTCCTTGCCCCACCCCTGGATCCATCCCTGTGTATCACTAGAGCTCGAATATCGGTTTCAACCTCCCACATCCACTGTGGTGCCATGGGTCAGACCAAACTATAGACCTGAACCAAAAGGAGACAGTTAAGATTCTGTTTAATGATGTCATTAAAAAAACAGTGAATGAAAAATAACAGTGAATAAAAAAGCTAAAACTAGTAGACTATTCAACGGGTTCCGATTGGGGTCACCAATCTCTTCAATTTGTACAGTACATGGATCATCAAGAGGTTATGGATAGACTGGCTGCTTAGAGTATGTTTTAGATAGTGTGTAGTGTTATATTAAATTGATTGTTAAAACCAGAGGATCAGAGGCTAAATTCCCCTCATTCTTTATGGCAGTTCAAGTCCTAAATGTAGCAAACACAGTAAGATCTGAGTCACAACATTAACAACAATTTATTTAATGATGAATGATGGCAAGCCAAGACTACAGTACTCCAATTCAAACACACACTTGTGGTGCAGCTATAGTCACGTAAAACTGAAAAAGGTTCAGGATGAATATAATGATGCATTCACAATTTTGCTAAAGCATCCAAGATGGACAAGCGCAAGTCACATGTTCACAGGTTTTAGCAATGTCCCCACCTTTCATGTCCTGCAGAGGAATTGTAAGTTTGTGTTGAGTAACTGACTCAGAAACGTGGGATCATAAGGACCATATAGCTGCAGATGACATGATGTTGGTAACACTGGAACAAATGTTTGTTTGTGTTTTCAAAGCCTGTGGAGTAGTAAAGTATGTTGATTGTATTTCTATATTTTTCATAAAATGATGGCCAAATAGGTCTGAAATACACCTAAACTATTACTATGACTAACTAAAGAATATAAGGTAGGAATAAAACATTGATATATAATAAATAAATGAATACATTACTACATGTTTCAATTGGGATATTGCAGGAGTCCTGAAGCACATATAAGCTCCGTCTCAATTGAGGAGCTGCATCTGAAGACTGCTTGCGTCACAGTGGCACAATAAACTGTCCCATTCCAAAGGCTCCTCCAAATGTGGCCAACAAATGTGCTACAATGCGTGAATCCTTCCCAACCTAGCCTATCCCAGGATTCATTTTGCTTCAGTGACAAACTATTTCACCAAGAAGTAATGCCAAGCAATGAGACATTAATGCTAGAGTATCACACTTTAATTCAACCTAACGGCTAACAGATCAGTCAAATAGCCAAGGGGCAGTAAAACTTTGTCTTTGTGTCCAATTTCAGCTCTGTTGCTTGGCAACAGCAATAAGGGTGGGACGAGCTGGTGACTCCCATCACGGAAATCCTCTGTAGACCAGACTGCCAATCTCCACTCTGTTCACCCTTTGCAGTCTACAAAGATCGCCTCCTTCGTGGGCTACATAGACTGATCCAGAAGGAACTGGGACACAACTAGAGTCAGCATCCAGGGGCGGATCCAGGGGGGGGCACTGGCCCCAGCTGTAATCTGATTGGTCCCTGAAGTGCCCTTGTCAGTAATCTTTTTTTCCCAAACATTATTAACAATATGAGAAGGTGTTGTTATCATTTTGAAGTCCACAATGTTCTTGAGCATAGGAAACTTTTCAAAAATATATTCACAAATGTTTAGCTTTGCTTAAATCTATAGAGCTAACAAACAAGGACTTAAATGTGCACATTACTGAGAGTTGTGCAGACATGTTGGACATAGTATCGGCCCCTCTGAGTATATTGTGGCCCCTTTGTTACCCCTGTAATCCTAGATCCTAGATCCGCCACTGCATACATAGTGGACATTTTGGAGCATCTCGGGCTGACTACTGACTGAGAACTGAGAAACACTTGCACATCACATTCATGTGTTTCCTCTCCTCCATGTGTGACAGCAGTGGACTCTCCACAGCTCCTCTCTCCTCGTGTTCCGAGCCGCTCACAGACCCTGAGGCTCGGGGATAATGTGTCTGTCAGTGTCCGGGGGGCTGCGGAGGGTCTCACCCGGTCACAACGTGGGGAAGTTGCGCACTGTTTCTCCACGTTGCCATGGCTTCTGTCTTTCTGTAAAACCCCATTGACTGCGATAGGGTCCCTTCTTTCCTTTGAGTCTGTCTTTGTGGAAAAGGAGGAGGAGGAGGAGGAGGAGGAGGAACCCGCTACTAGTTTTTTTTGGGGGGGGGCGGTGTCATCCAGGGGAGGAGGGAGGAGGTGCTCCGGCTCCGACCAACAGAGAGGCGCAGCAGCGGAGACACGCAGCCCGCCCTCCTGCTTCCTCCAGCGGTGCAACATTCAACTTTCTGCCCGGCACACTCGACATGAGCGGCTTCTGAAGGTGAGTGTCCACGTTACTCTCCTCCTCCTCCTCCTCCTCTTCCTCCTCCTCCTCCTCCTCCTCTCTGTTGACTGCTGTTACACTTGTTGTATTGTAGCTTTGAACACGCTGCATGGTTAGAGGCACCTGTTTAAAACACAGAGGAAGGTGAAAGGTGGGAGATGGAGTCAGGGCTGGTGTTGCAGGCTGTTATCTCCACTTTGTCATGAGAGGATTTAAATAAAAAGCAGACTTTCAGTTCAGTCAGAGTGGGAGAGGAAGCTCAGCTTCACCTTCCACTTCTTCTTTTCACCACCATCGAGCTCTGAGGCTGTTCATCATCTGCATGATCTAAAGATGTGAGGGAGGTCAGATGTGAATTTAAGTGATCCAGAGAGGGAAGTTCTAATGAGAGATCACACTGTAATCCCACCTTCAGTGTGATGAACAGCATCACCAGTCTGTGTTTCAGTGGGTGCATGTGTAGTTTGCATGTGATAATATGAAGGGCACAGTTGTGTGTGTAAAACCCTGATGTTTTGTGGGCTGGTTTTAATATTGAGGAGCTGTCTCCCTTCCAGCAGATTTATTCTTGTGCTCTGAGAAGGTACAATTTTGTTTTATCCACCTTTGAACACGTTGTGTCGTGGACGTACTGTGAGATATAAAATACAGAGGAGGGTGAAAGGTGAGAGATTTAGTCATGACTGTAGTGAAACCAGAGTTTCAGTTGAATCATATTGGGAGAGGAAGCTCAGCTTGTTTGATCAGGTTCACCCTTTTTATTTTTCACTGAAGATATCATCATGATGCTTTAGGACTGTTCTAAATGATCTTCATGATGTAAGGATGTGAGGGGTGAGAGGAAAGTTCATCTTTTTGATGCACACTGATGGACGATCACACTCTAATGATCTCGGTGCTGGAACCACTGGACTGAATCAGACCTTGTCATTCAGTGTGATGAACAGCATCATCTCTGTCTGTTTCCATGGTGGCATGCATTGTAGTTTTGCCTGTGAGATGAGGGGCAGAGGGACAGTCGTGTGCGCTGTGCTGCAGACATCTGTGTATAAAACTCTATTGTTTAATGTTTTGTGGGTTGGTTTTAATGTAGAGGAGCCATGTTCCTTACAGCATATATAGAAGAGAAGGTACGTTGGCAGCGTGGTTTGAACAGGTAACTGTGCAGACTGTGAGATTTCAAAAATAAAGGGTTAAGGGAAAAAGAGAAAAGGGGGGCGTATAGTTTAGTCGGGAGGATGCTCAGCTAGTTTCAGCAGACTTACCCTTTTCATTTTCATCAGGTGCATGTATAATAGTTTGCAGAAGGACAGTTATGTGTTGCACACGTGTGTGTTTGAAGCCCTGCTTTCGGCTGAACTAATGTTTATATTAATCTTTCGTGGGCTGGTTTTAATGTAGAGGAGCGGCGTACCTTCACAGCAGATTTATTCTTGTGCTGTTAAAAGGTAAGTGGAGTCGTGTGGGAGTATAGAAAGAGCTATAAAAGTCTATGAAATGTAGGTTTCTTTAAGATAAAGAGAATTTTGAGTTTCTTTTTTTTCAGGCTGATAAATTGTAGCAGAGGAGAGAAAACTTCTGTCTCACAGACAAAATAACCTTAGGAGGATTAAAGAATCCCCGCACCAGTGTAATTGCTCTTTATTACATGCTGTTGCACTAGTGTAAAGCATGCAGGCATCGAGATTAAAATGACTGATGAGACGTCAGCCAGCGTGATTAAAATCGCATTGCGCTGACATTTAAATCAGGGAACTGGTATTGCCGTTATTACCTTTAGCTTTGTAAATGAGGGGGATGTGGATGAACAGTTGTTGCTTGCATGTTTGATGTGTTTTGTTGCATTTATGGAAAAGATATATCTCACGTGGTTTTAACGTAGTGACTCCCTCAATATGAATATTTACAAGGTATGCAAATGTATCACACATGCTGTGTGGAAGTGCTGCAAATCCAAATGTTGGTTTTCTGTGCCTTGTTGTTTCGTGGTGTCTCATTACAGATGAAGCCTTTGAGGGAATCCCAGGAAACAGAGAAATGTTACATAGTTTATCCATAATTTGATATTTATATTCCTTTTGATGCTTTTTTCTTTTATTGTTCTCAACAAACTCTGCTTGCCCTATATTGTCTGCAGCAGAGTTTGTGGCACATTTTCTAAAAATGAAGAAATATGTTGCTGTTGAAGTAAACACACTCCTGCTTGTAGTTCTGTTAGAGCCCCTGATACTGATCCTGCTGCTGCTTAATCTTAAACACAAAGACCTTCTGAAGGTCAGACTGATTCCATTAGTGAATATAATCACCTCAAGCTGTTTTTTCAAGAGGAGTACAGCTGTGCCTCGCCCATCCCAGTAAGCACATCAGTTCTCAAGTGTTCATAGACAAAATTATCACAGGTAAGTTGCTTAAATTAAATTTCTAGGCCAATGATGAGAGTCTCGAATGGCACTTGTCATCACACGTGGTCCCCAGCCTCTCTGTATTCAGGGCAGTGGTGCATTGTGTCCAGAAGTAGGTCGAATGCTTCTCACCAAACAATTTGAGCGAGAGCCAGTAATTGGACAAGCAAAGTGTCGACCATCTCCCAGCCGGTCCATGTCAGCCAGCCCCCTCGCCACTTAATATGCAGCTCCAACCTGACGCATTTCATGGACCGTTTTCATCCTTTTTATCGTTTAGATTACAAAATGCAGGAAACAGAACATCCTTTGTAGCTGTGGACAGCCTCGTCCTTCATTTGTTAGTGGCTGACATACTAAAGCTCCAACAAATGTCTGCTCAAATGTCGAGAAACACCCAGGTAGGGTAACTGTTTGGATCAAACCCCCACCTGCACATCAATGAGGTTTTACTCAGTATGGTTTCTGGCTGTGTCTGCTGCACACAGATTGAAACTCAGTCACAGACAACTGATAAAAAGCACCTGTGCTTATAGCGTGCTGTGCTGGTTTCATCTTTTTGCACAATCATCACAGACTGTCTCTGAGGCAGGCATTGAAGATGTGAAAGATAAAGGCAAGCTGTGGTTCTGTCTTTACCTTTTTTATACAGGTGTGTGTTTAGAGTGCTGCAGACATGTTAGTGCTCGCAGTGTGTGTGTGTGCGTGCTCAGTGTATTGTCCAGTGTACATGAGAGGGGCTGGGGTTGAGAATGAAAAGGAGAAGGGGTGAGGCACAGAGAGCCCTTTCTTTACAAGCAGGCTGTGTACACCTGGTCTTTTGACAGCACAGAATGAAAGATGTATGCAGAGTCTAAAATTAACTTTTTCACTCACTGGCCAAGGTGGCTGGGAGATGAAATAAATCCATTGGCCAAGCTTATTTTTGAAGGCCAAAATAATAAATTGCCTTTTTTTTGTCACATATCTCAGTTCGTCTCAGTAATTCCTGGAGATAAACAGGTAAATGTTGAATACAAACTTAGGCCTTGTCTACACTACTGCAAGGATTTCTTTTCAACAGATACACAATTGACTTCAAACGCTTGAACAAGCATGCCAGGCCACTGAGTGGCAATAAAGTCTACATTAATGATCTGTCAAACACCAGAGAAGAACACTGTGGTGCAGGTGATACTGGGCGAGGCAGATGCCAGTGAATCCTGGTTATGTGGTGCAGCGATGCTAAATTTAGATGCAAACTTGCAAATTAGACCCGAGCAGTGATAACCAAATGTAGAGACACTGGTATATAGGCACCATTGTTCTTGTTGTTTCTGGTGCATTACACACAGTAAGCTGTGACCTCATCGTTTTCCTAATTCCCTGTTTTACATAGAAACCAGAGTTTTTGAAAATCTGCACTTTGGAAGGCATTTAAAAAAGAATCAGAGTTAGTCATTTAAAATGCTTTTTTGTATGTGAACAAGAGGCCCCAATGCTGAGGAAAAAATATCTGCATTAGGGCATTAAAGGGAAAACAGCAAAGTTTAAATCACAATTATTTTGATGTATTGATCAATGGATTATTTGAGTTAAATACAAAATCCATAATACAACTCAAGAAGTCTGGATTTCAAAATGCAAGTGGCGTGAAGCTGAGGGACAAAGCAGGAGACTCAGACACACTGGCAATGAGACATGTGCTGTGTTCAAGGTCTCAAATGTCCAATTTTGTCATACTGGTAATTAACGCTCAAAACAATTCATCATCATAGCCTTGACATCTTAATGTTGCAGCCTCATACACTTCCATTATGTCCAAACATTCATTCTTCACAGAAATGTACTTTTTCTCTTTGGGGCTTTTGGCCTCTTGTAAATTTTGTCACATCACTTTTAATTAACCTGACTGCTAGCTAGTGTGGTGGGAATTTGCATTTAATCCCCTGGTAAGGAAATAAACAATTGCACTGAATAATTGTAAACAAAGCATTTAATACTGATCAAAGCAGAATTACAGAGTATATTGAACACAAACAAAGTTACAGTATTACTATTTGGCCAAATAGGGACATTGTTCTTAAAGCCACGGCAGGCTCAAGAGTCTGACAAATGTCTGTTCTGATGGGCTGACTTTTATACACAGAGCTAGGAACACACAGCTGTCCTCAGTCACGTCACCATCGATCCATGATCACGCATCCTGCAACCTGCTGCAGGGAGGAAAAGGTGGACATTGATCTCTCTCGTAAATATACTGATGTATTTGATCAAACAGTTCACTGGTTTATCCAACTCACAGATCACAAACATTCCCTGGTATTACACCCAAGCAATCATTCCTTGAGCTTTGTGCTGATTCAGGCTATTTGAACTGACCTCACTGAGAGTATTCATGCCCAACAGTTAGATCTACAAAATAATGTCACCCACAAAGAGTCGCCCTTACACTGATTTTGCGTTTGGAAGTTTGGCTGGATAGGCTTAGACAAAAATATCAGAGCCAATTAAAGGCAGAGAAGTGGGGGTTTTTCCTGAAAAGGGGTAAAACAACTATTATGGCACATTTTGACAGTCCCCTGAGACTGATCATGAAATGGAAAGCCTACCTGC